CAGGTTTTAACCCCAAAAAAATTACAAAATTCCATCTATACTGACAGGACAAACTCCTGCAAAACCTGTTAAGTCATAAGACAGATGGCATACAGACACAGTCTGAATAAAACAACACAAAGACTGCTCCTCTTATTCCTCATCCCACCGCAAATCAAGTGGCAAAATCCTTCTGGCTCGCCACAACACTGGATGATGAATCATTGATCCTCCAAAATTCAGTCTTTAACCACCCAGTGACTGCGGGTCCGTTTATGCCTGGATGGTGTTCTTGGCACTGAAAGCCATGTAGTAAAACAAGATACCGATGAGGGCAGCCACCACCTCAGTAGACACCCATGGGCCGCTCCACGCACCCTGTGGTGGCACGTAAAAAAAAAAAAGGAAGATCAGAACAGGTTTGGCAAGAAATATAACCAACCATATATTAGAGCCTGATGCATTTATCGGTGGAACAATAAAAATCAGCTGATTTGAGCCTTTAACAAGCATCAGCGTTTGCCAACATGCACAGACATAAACACTTGCTTTACAGAATAAACAAAGCAGAAAATATGTGCATTTAATTAATTTAGTTTATGGTTTAACTGTAAAATATCAAGCCTCAATTACATTTCAATTTGAGGGTTAGATATAGATACTATTTAACCGATATATTGGTATTGGATTTTTTTTCTATCAGCCCCCAAAGATCCATATCGGAAAGTATCTGCCATATATTAGTTTCCCCTTGTTTCAAGATTAGTCTGTGACAGAATGCAACTGGGTTATACCTCACATCACATCCAACACAAAGACTTATCAGTCATTGTTTGAGTGTGATGTCATTCTTAAGTCAATGTACAATTGATTTGTTTTTTCAATTTCTAGCAATAGAAAAAGTGTTTTCCCAGGAGGTAACATTTTGGTACAATTTATGATGTGAGGGGTTTTGTGTGATTGAAACATTTAATCAACCTTGTGTTGATAAGCTCCTATTGAATTATGGCCTGACTTTGTTGGCTCCATAAAAATGTTGGAAGCTTTTTACATTTCCAGCAGATAAAGAGCTACACTATTGACTTGGGGTCAGGTTTTTGACCCAAAGTGATTAGAGCAATTATTAGAAGTCAAGAAAAAAAGAGTTGTGGGTAGGAAAATCTAAACAACAGAACAAATGAGCAGACAGGTAAAATAAAAAGCTCTGTAAATCAGAGGGAGGTGTAGCATTCGCACTCGTGTGATTCAATGTTAATATAAAAATACTGATTACAGACGCTTTCATTCGAGGGTGTTTGGTGAGTTTTACAAAGCTAATGGCACCATTACTGTGAACTGATTCACATGTTCAACCTGAGGATCTATTAGAGACTCACCCTGTGGTCAATGTTGATGGAGAACAGAGGCTGAATGGCATTTACGTCTTCGTTGTTTCTCTGGGCCTGGAACAAAAGAAACGCAGCCACATATGGTTCAAATTAAACAGCCTTTGCAAAACAAGCAGAGCTCATTGGCAGCAGACCATGAGCTTATCGACAATACATGTAACACGAACCTTGCGCAGGGCACTGTAGGACTCCTCATCAAAGAATTTGACCTGATATGTTCCAGAGCTGGCCTGTTTGTGAGGAAGGCTCCAGGACACCTGAGGGGGAAACAGTCACATGTTGAAGGGATTTTTTTTGGTGTCAAAATTCAAAGGCTGTGCTGTGAATTAATGTGCCGCTGAGGACTGGATTAAAACCACGGCGAGGAAGGCGGGGACAAAACAGCCTGCTGAGATGCTGCAATGTGATGAATTGTACAAATAAGGCTAACAGCGCACAGAACATGATGGAGGTAGCTGTGTTGAGACTGACGAGGGCGCGAGAGACAAGTTCAAATCCCTCCAGCTCTCACACACACCTGGCCAGTCACTATGTGAAGTGGTAAGATTGGCAGAATGTCAATTCTGAACACCATCAGTCATTAGTTGAAAATAAGCGTCGTATTTTGGGTTATTTTATTTGTTTTCTTTGATAAGTGCTAGCTTTTAAGAGATCTTAGACTCAGGGGGACTTTTTGAAAAGTTTTAATTTATACATTATAAACCAACCAACTGGTCAAATATGTCCTACATATTTTAACTTTATTAGTGCAGCATTTTCCATAACAGAACTTGGAAAGAGTGTCACATGGCAATACAACACTGGAAGAATATAATCAAACAAAGGATAAAAACATTTAACTGGACATAAAAGGCACAATAAAAAAGCAGACGGAGGACACTCAAAATAAAAATTTGCTATAATGCACATAACTTTTTATTATATATACTTTTGCCACATATTTTTATTTACTGTAATTCTCTTGGTCTGTAAATATTTCTATTCTTGGCTGGAGCGACTGAAACAAAACCAAAGTTCCCCACAGGGATAAAGTATTTCTGATTCTGATTGTACTGTTTTGAGAAAGCTGACACGGAAGTGTGGAGTTTAGTTCTTTTAGGGACAAATTCGAAAGGCTGCGAAGGGTCTGTCACTTCTAGTTACTAAGTTTAATCTAGAGACCCTCGTCAGAAGACCTCAGGCTGTGAACCGGCTCTTTAAGAGTTAGGCTTTCAGTAATTCAATTTGAAGCAAAACTCCGTCTAACCTTGATCATAATAACCAAGATTTTAAAAGCAATGTGTAGCTAGTGAGGAGGGGCCAAAACAGGGGTGAAAAAAAATCATGTCCTTGAATTGCTTAAAATCTTCAATAGTGTCTTTTGAACATCTAGTCTACATACGGGAAAGATCACTCCGAGACAGAGTGGAAGACTTGCATCAGGTCAGAAGGATTAAAAATGACCTCAAACCGTGGTTCATGTCATTATTATATTGTTTACATTTGATCTGATTAGTTCTGGTTTCTCATTGTAATTTAAAGAGTGGACTAAGAACATGTTGTATGACATACGCATATGTCGTCATTAACTACACAGGCCGTCTATATACCTGACATTGATTGGTTTCTAGACGGGTGTGTGTTTGACGTGGGGGTGTTTGGTGATTACTACCAGCAGCACCAACTTCAGGTACAGTACTCGACACTAGTTTGAATGGGCCTAACAAACAACCTTACCATTCAAACTATTACATCTTCGGAGGGGAAGACTACTAATGATCTCGAAAGCCACTTGTACTTTTTCTTCTTCTAATGTCTAATGTTATCTAGACTTCCTGCCAATGGTCTGAACCATCCATAGAATTGTTTTAGCACTGCAAACAAACCATGGGTCAGTTTGATCAGTCAAACTGATCAGATCAAACTGACCCATGGTGCGGTGTAAATTTTGGTCTGTTGGTCCAGGCCATGGTCTTTTCACTGGATAGAGGATGTCAATCTGATAATCTGCAAACTTAGATTTGCTCTGATTGAACTCTGGGAAATGGCTGAAAACACATAATTTGAAACAGCCCCTACCCTCCCTGTAACATCATATTTAAGATTATATACTTATATGTATGTGAGGTGATGTTCTTTGTGTTTCACCTTCCTATCACTAAAGTATTGAATGTGGCTGAGGCAGCTTGAAACTTTGACCGCCGGTGTCGGCAGATGATCTCTGCACATGCAGCTGGATGTCATGTCTGTACATGTGGACACGGGGACACGACCGTACCTGGTACTTTCCAACATCCTGGCCTCTGGTCACAGGGAACTGTCTTCCATTGACATCAGCATACAGAGTCACACTCTGGACAGGACAGACATGATCACCAGTGAGTCAGACAGTCAATCACACTGAAACATCATCACAGTGTCTGTGTTGGACGTGCTGGAGGTTTGACTGGTACCTGAGCTCCGTTGGCACAGGCCAGGCTGAGTTCAACGATGAACACAGACTCTGAGGAGATGACGGCGTCAGAGGTGGTGTAGGCCGAGGGGGTGATCACTGGGTCCGTGCAGCTCTCTCCTGTCACCACACAGAGCACAGCTACGGTTAGCTTAAGGTTAGCTTAATGTTAGCATCGACACCAGTACAACAACACGTTTCACCCTCACTTAACACGACAACAGAAGACACACAGACGTGACATCAAGAACTAGCCACTAGCTAATGCTGATTAGCATTACAAGCTTCATCCTCCGGTTCGACGCTGACTTACCCGAGCAGGCGACCACCAGCAGGGCCAGGAAGGCAGTTATCCGGATCATCGTGGTTTCTGAGCGGCTGTGTGACACGTTTCTTTATCGCGGAGCTCCGGAGCCTGAACCGCTTCTTCCAAACACACCGAAGGAAAGAAGTCCACCTCAGCTCACCGATGCGCTCCACTGCGCCTGCGCAGGACTGACGTGGACCGTAGTACCGCGGAGTATTCTGGGAAAGTAGCGAGTCGACACGTCATCAGCAAAAGTCCTGCAATAAATCCTCTTTTTTAATAAATAATAAATAATAATAATATTTTTTTGTAGTAAATAAATAAATCAATAAACATTCTATCTTAAAAAATGATGATATTAAATGCTTTAAATAATTAAATTAAGAAATGATACTCCCCTCCAGGTATACACTGTATTTGTGTGCATATTCCGTTATTGCACAAACACTTCTAATTGTCAAATTTTTTTCTCTAATGAGAAAACATTATTTTAAATCCTCCATTATAAAGTTTAAAGTGTTCGGCAAACACAAACTACTTCCTCCAATATGAATCAACGCCTCTGATTTATTGCAGGACTGTTTTATCTGTGTATCAAACTTTAAACTGAAAATCCAAGCAAAACCTCTATTCTATAATAATGCATCATATTATGAGCTGCAACAATAAGGTGATTGGCAGAAAATTAACTGGCATCCGTTTTGTTTGTTTTGTGTTTTTTAAGAAAAAAGATCGACATTCACTGTTTTTTGTTTCTCAAATGTGAGGATTTGCTGCTTTTTTTGTGTGATGACAGTGACCTGAATATTTTTCAAACCTCATTATAACCAGGTATTAGAGTAAAATAAATGTACACACTATATTTAAATTAAAAAAAGGGTTAGGATTAAAAATAGAATGGACAAAATATTTATTTGGCCTGAAGCCCAGATATCCAGACAGGTCAACATGTTAATCAATAAATCATTACAAATAATTAATATATATACATTTCTTGTAGTTACAGTTTTCACAGTTTTCAACTTATTTTTGAAAAATGGACATTTGATGAAGAATTTTTATGTATTTATTGACTTGAGAAAAGAAAATCACTGAAAAATAATTAATTGGAAATAGTTGAAAACAAACACCCACACAAATAAGTCATAAAGTCATAAATTACTTTAGAATCAACTTTCCACAAACATATCTGTGCACTTCACAGTTCCCACATCGTGCTGCAGATCTGCAGTCATGACTCAGATCTGCTGAACAAAACGTGAATGAGATGGCTGCTGGGAGTTGCAGCCAATCACAGAGACCTCAGAAGTGACGTCAGATCCCTAGAAATAGATGTGCCGAGAGCTGCTGTCAGTGCACATCACCCTTCACTTAAGTTCATATGTGTATCATCTCTCTCTGTGTCTCATGTCTCTGTTTTCATGATGCCAGTCTTATGGATCGGCTGCTTTGAATAGGCCTACTCCTCTTCCCTTGCGTACCTCCCGTTTCCCTTTCTTTTGGGGGGCTTGGACAGAGGGAGAGGAGGTGGCAGAGGTGGAGGGATCCTGTAGAGCTTGACGCGTGATGAGCTCCTTGAAGACTGAATCCATCTGGCGACAGACCTCCTGTGAGATGGAATAAACACTGGTGATGAGTTAGAGGAAAAAGGACAAAAGTGTCTTTGTCCGTCTCCCCTCTGTTCATGAGTGTGCAACTATGTTTGTAATAAAAGCCACAATGTATAATTGCCATTAAATGTTTATGCCATTAGTCGTTTGGTTCAGCTTTCAAAATGACACTATATATAGAAGGATTTGTAAGTTATTGTTATTATCATCTCCAAAGAAGAGCTCAACCACTTAACATCTGGAAAAGTGCTGCAGAACATCTGGACCAAAATCTCTTAGCAACTTGTTAGATGACATCAGCAGACTGTTGTAAAACCCGTTAACATTTATAGCTGCAAACAAATTCGTAGAAAATCCATCCATTATCTTTTATTCACACAAAGAAGTGGTGAATTATTTATCAAGCCTAATTATCAAAGCTGTTTGTTAGGGCCAATTAATTCTAGAATAAAAGGGTATTTTTTACATGATGGAAGAAGTTATTAGAAACCAAATGAGAAACAAATCAGACCTTGTCTACTTGAACACCTATATCCTCAGAAGACGAGTGTTCCTGGAGACTGAATGTACAAACAGACAGATTGTTAATATTTTCATATTAATATAACATGTCAGCTTCAACATTTAGTGGTACTTACTCTCTGCACACCAGGAAAGGAGAGGGGGCCCTCTGTCGTTTGCACTGGGGCCCAACAGGAATCTGTAACATCAACTTTGCAGCTGAAGGGATGCTGCCCCCTTCTGGTTTACATGTCGATCTCTTGTGGTCGATGGAGCCACTACTGTTAGCTCTGGGACGTTCTGCTCTCATCCGTGCTGGTGTTGTAGACAAACTGGTGCTGCGGTCAGCTGACGATACTGTTTCTGAGTCTGTCACACATGGCATCTATTCAATGACACCACGACCGCCTCAGAGGAATGATAGACCAGGATGAGCATGTAAACTTACCGTCTTTGCCATGAGTGCAGTCTGCCTCCCCATCTCCTTCTTCAAGAAGAGGCTCACTGCGAAGAAAACACTCTCAGATAATCGTCCTACCACGCAATGTATCCGTGTTATGTGTTTGTTGGGTATGAACGTCTTTTTTTATTTCTTACCAGTCCTCCTGTTCTAGTGACATGCATTTCTCATACACCGGCCCCTGTATCTCACTCTGGCTGGGGAAGATGCTTTCATGCTGGACGATGATGCTCTTCACCAGGGCGTTGATCTGAGGCTGCAGGGTGACGGCATCATCATCATCTTGAGCTCCTCTGAAGAGGCTGGGCCCAAAACAAACGGCCAGGTTGTAAGGCTGCATCATGTTCTCGTCACTGTACTGCGACACGCTGGAGGAACAGGGCGAGAAAGTAAATATTATACAGTGAAGGAGCAAGAAATGACATGAGATGCACAGATATAGAAATAAAACTAAGCTGCATTATGCTGTTTTGCCTTCTTCTTACAAGTAATCAATAGACAAACTGCTCTTTTTTCAAAATTAATGACTACACTTCATCTCATCTCAAGTGGTTCTCAAACAGACGGATTAGTTCACCCTAGAGGGGCATAGAGCCACTGCAGGGCTGCATTGAGGGAGGAGAGGGGGAATTGGAGAGATATATAACAAACAAGACTTTACTGATTCATCATTGTGACCTTTGTTTCATTGTCATTGTTAAGGCTTGATGATAAAATATGTTTATTCAGCTTCCGAAGGGAAAACCACTGTCTTACACGAACCACTTCCTTTCCCATTACCTATCATGGTATGATTTTACAATTGTCCTTCAGTTTAGATTTTAACGTTTAGCAAATCCACTTTATTTGTGTAAAATATCAAATCATACACCATCCTGGGGCTGGCGTTACAGTAAATAAGCAGCTCCTGCTGGAAATCAGCTGTGCACATCTATATAACATGATACATGATTTAAAAAAGAGGTCAACATAATTGGAGACATGAGCTAAGGGGTTAAAAAAAATTAGTTTCTCTTCCTTCTTTAAAAACCATGTTAGTTTTGTGTGAATTACTGTTAAATGTGGTTCTGTTTTTCTGATTCGAGTTGAACAGGAACAAGTGCAAAGAGTAACAATACTCACTGATGAAGGAATGCAAAGAGGTATCGCATGACAATGATGAGCGGCTCAGGATAGGAAGAGATGACTGATTTGAGCTGAGCCACTCTCTCTGCCTCGTTCTTGATCTCTAAGAAAAGGTCATGAAAAAAGGCCCCTTACACTTATGATATTCACCACACACACACGACTTGCTAACCTCAACTATTACTACTACTGTACTTACCAAAGCCGAACCATTAAAACAACTCTAACCTTAAAATGTTATAATCACTTTACGCTTTTTGTTTCCAGAGTGTTGGGCTTCCTGGGCGGACATTACACACACAATCACACACTCACGAGCATGTTCCAGGAGTTGGTTGGTGCTCTCGATGGGGAAGAGTGGATTCTCCAGAACTCTGAAGTAGAGCTTAAGCACTCCAGCCACAGAGTCCAGGTCAAAGCTCTGCTCAGCTAGGGGCTCCTCTCCTGCAGGCAAGCCCACGACATAGTGCCCCACATTAGTAACGCTCCACAGTGGGGGGCGCTACTCTATGATGGCTCCACACACAAAAAACACACAGGCCTACCTCGCTCAAAAGCATCCCTTAGGTTGTTGACTTCCATTTGAGACCCAGGAACCCTAAATATCCCTTCATGGTGGAGACCTACAGGATGGATTTTTAATTTAAAACTATGTCTATGATATTTTACTGCATCAAGGCCACAAATGTCCATGTGCTGGTTTACTCTTCTGTCCATCTTGAATTCTCACCATTTAGGTTGATGAAGCGAATGCAACTCTCCACAACAAGTGGAATCTGTTGTCCCGATGCCTGAATGAAACAAATTTAGTGATGAATTTCTAAAGCACCATGTTTGGGACATTAACGCCAACTTATGAAGTGGAAGAGAATAATGAAGTGACAATCCCCGGAAGTCAGAAACAGGTGAGATGGTGTAAAAATGTTGGTAGCTACCTGTAGGAAGGACAGCATGTCTCCGCTGAACAGTTTGTGGTTGTGCAACAAATTGGAGCTGGAGTGAGTCTTCCTGACGCGCATTAGCTTCCCGTTGTGTCTGCAGAGCAATGGTATGTATTGAAGACACAGCACATTGTGTCACAGCGATGTAATATCTGCAGAATCATATGGCTTTCACAAATTCACATATTAAAGGGGATATATTATGCTCGTATTCAGGTTCATAATTTTGATTTGGGTTACTTCTTGAAAACACATCACTTTTCTAATAGTGTCCATTGCTGCAGCTTCTCTTTTCAGCCCCTGTCTGAAAGGTCTGGTTTCAGCCCCTGTCTCTTTAATGCCCTCCTCCTGATAAAGCCCAGTCTGCTCAGATCACATGTTGCAGTTAAACTACTGATAAGGCGTTTCAGGAGCAATGTTTTCGGTGCGAGAGAGGAGCTCCCTTCCCGACTTTGGGCTTTTTAAGTTTACAGACCTTTTACATACACAAAAACTAGAGGCAAGGGAAAAACTGAAAAAGCATAATATGTCTCCTTTAAGTCTATATAAGTTCTAAAAACATTATATTCCTACCTGGGTTGATATTCATTTGAAGCGTCAGCTAGGAAGAATAACAGATTAAATTAGTTTAAGCAGGAACAAGAAATGTTACTTTGGTTGCTGGCTAAAATAAAAAGGGAACAATTTACTGGACAATCCCTCCCCAGAGTGCACCAGATGTTCTCAAAAGAGAAACTGGCTCAGCACTTTGCCTTGTCTTAGAAATGCAGAAGTGATACCTTTTTCCACAGCCACTTTAAGCAAGTCATGTTTGGCTTGCAGTTTAGATGCCAGGGAACTCCCAACAAGGTACTCCTTAACTCTCTGTGAAACAAAGCAGATAGGAATCAGTGTCACGTCACTCTTCATTCACTTTGTTTCTTATAATCACTGTCACATTAACAACAAAGCTAAACCAAAAGCCACATCTTTATAACCAACTACACACCATCAAAACTAAAACTGCCACAATGTTGGTTGGGCATAAGAAAAGAAAAAAAGACTCACAGTGAAGTAGAGGTTTTCCATTTCCTGCAGGTTGGCCCTGCGTCGGGCCACACTAGGCTTGACAATCAGGTTTTCAGTGTTGACGTCCTGAGACAAACTGGGTTCCAGATCATCTTCACCAATACTCTCCAGCAGGGAACTCTGGGCTGCGGACATGTTCTTACTCACCTATATAGCATATATATAGCAGTGGCACAGATATTAACTTAATGTTGTGCTTTTTTGTGCTCACTAATGGTCATAGGGTGTGCAGAATATCAGAATCTGAGGGGAACTCACATTATTATACATTAATATACATTATTTTGCCTGTTTAATATGCCAGGATTAAAAATGTTTTGCACTTGGCAATGATAGAAACAAGGGAGTGGTTAACTTCAACTTGCTTGATGACTCAGACTTGAAGTAAGAGTAAGAAGGTCTTTTTAAATACGGCACCTTCAAATGGGAAAAAAAAAAAAACTTTGACTGTTCTTGCTCACTTGGATCCACCACAGTTCCGCTCTGTCATTACTGTCTAAAGCACTATCTTCACTTTTTTCCCTTTCGTTTCTGACTCCAGTAAATAGCGTCATAATGTTTCCCCTTTCCTGCTCCTTCAACCATTAATGTTTTCTACACAGGAAACCACTGAGCTCATCCATGCGCATGCATACACATGTGAGCAGACACACACGTACAACAGTAAAAGAATCTAAGCCAAACATTATCCCCCCCTTCCTTTGATGACCTTTGCTGTTTTTTTAGTTTTAGATTTTTTCTGTTACACTTCATTGTTGTTAATGTTGAAGTGGTTAAGTTCCCCCTCTTGTTTTGTACTGCTCACCAAACTGTATTAATAATAAAAAATACCATGTTCCAGCTAACTGATCTAAAGGCACAGCCAAATTCATTCATTTTAAATAAAACTTAACACACAACCTGCATTGGACACTTTTTTTCCATTTCCTTCACATTATTACAAGTTTAGCTTCAAATCTCTATTTATATTCAGGACACTTCCCCATCTACTTCAATAGATTACACTTAATTTATTCAAGTAAGTGTATTTACAGTCTTGAATAAACTTGCCTGGCTCATGGCAGCTGTAAATACTCTGGTAGATAAAGTAGGCCCATGAAAAGTGTTAAGATTTGTTGGGATGGTGTACTCTACCTCCTCTGTTTCCTCTGTGACTGCTTTCAGTCTGGTCTGTATCTGTTTGAATCTGGTCTCCAGCTCGCATTTCATCTCACACTCTGCACTGACCTCAGAAACCTGCGAGAAACAACACAGAATGCAAAACTGCTGAGTATCCACTGGGAAAAAAAGCATCCCTGAGCCGAACTGATATGGATTTTGGAGGGCATATAGATATTATGAAGAAAATGTTTTAAAATTGGCAATGATTCCAAAGATGTCATTATCAAACCCTTATGACAAATGTAATTAGGGCAAAACCAAAAATCTATGTGTCTGAAGGCTCATATCGGCTCCACTCATCCATTATTCACACAAAACACACCTGGTCCCCGTCGTGAGGCTGATAGGTGAAGCGCAGGGGCATAGAGAAGCTGTTGTAATTGTCCTGCAGCTGAGAGTCTCTGTCGTGACCTTGGTCCAGTCCGGACACGGCCCCCTGAAGCTGCTGCAGCCCCGTGCTCAGATTCTCCTGAGCCCGCCACCGCCTGGACAGGTAGGCCTGCATCACCCGGCCTAAAGAGTGGTGGTAGCCTACATCTGCACACTGGCAATGACATATCAGACAGCATCACCCACTCGGATCATTCTTTAAACATGGTATTTTTAGATACCTCTGGCGCTGCAGGTCTAATATCACATGATAGATGTTCCAATGTTTTATAAGTTGTGAATGCTGCATCTCTAAAAAAGTGCCAGAAAACATGCAGGATTACATAACAGGGAAAGATAGCTGAAACAATAGTATGAACTCACGTCGATAAGAGTAGAGATGTCCTGAAGGTAATACTTATTCATGGAGGCATTGGCGGCACCCAGGTTTATGAGGTAGTCATTTCGGGCCTTTGTGCACTTCAGGTGTATCTCTTGAACCTTTCCTTGTCTCTATAGCACATGAACATTCATCAGCAAGAAATAAAAGCTTCACATAATGTACATGCATGCTGTGGTAGTATTTACCTTTTCTATCAACCTCTCTAGTTTCTTTGCAGCACTCTGCTTCTGCTTTTCTTCCTGTTTCTCTGCCTCCTTCAGCTTCCCCTCAGCACACACATACTCTGAGTGGTACTGGTAGTATGTCCGCCATGCCTACGCACACACACGCACGCACACACACACACATACACATAAATGCTGTGTTTGTCCAGGAAACCAAAATTGTTTTGGTGGTTGCTTTCACACTTACAGTCTGCAGCTCTGTTGTAACCTTGAGTAGACCATCTTGTAACTGAGAACAGATGTCTTTACTCTGTATATACATTGGTGAGACAAAATACCACAAAGTCAGTTGACAGAATATACTGTACATACTGAGCACCAAAATATTTTTTGGGCCCCAGGTGAAAAGGTGAAATTCAGACGAGGAAAGTGGTATTTGTAGCACAATGTCAGCACACAAACAGGTTTCATTTTTGTGGCCGGAGGATCAGTGTTTGTATCAGTACCTTCTTGGCAAGACGTTGCGTGTACTCCAGACAGTGTGTGAGGGGTTGGATGAGGAAGTTGCTGCAGCTCTCGCTCAGTCCATTATGGTCCCTACTTTCCAGCCGGGTCTGGGACAGCAGGGCCAGCCAGACTTTAGCCACTGAGTGACTGCTGGGATCTTTCCTGAAGTCAAAGGGACAAACCATGTGCTGGATATAATGAGGGATACTGCAAAACAGCATCCTCAAATGGACCGCTAGTTAATTTAGTAAAGCATGTGGTCCGTTACCTCTTAATTCTGGACGTAAACCTTTCAGCAAGCTTTTCGAGGGAGCGTGCATACTCGCTTTCAATCTCACCCCGCCGCCGCAGGTAATCTGTCAGGTCTTGCAGCTGCTGGCTCTTCTGCTCAAGTTGCAAGTCCAACACCTTCAGTTGGTCTGCAAGCTGGCAACGCACCTCTGAGAGATGACGAATGAAGGGGAGAAAGAACAGCAGACAGGGGAAAGAGAAGGAATCAAGAAAATGTGACTCATTCTAAGACTCTGCTGTGGGCGAGAAACAAATTTTACAATGTTTTTCCTGCAAAAAGGCCACATGTTGATCACAGGGAACATGGGCAGTTGAGAGAGTGGTACACATTCAAAGGTATTTAATCACCTTTTATTTGTGTGTCGTAGTCCACCATACCAATCTTCTCCCTACGGATTTTCACATGGGAAGTCATTGTTGCTCCAACTGGGTGGAATTCTGTATAAAAATAAGAAAATGTTTTGTTATCACCATCCAGTATGAAATATCAGCACCTCCGTTCTTTTTACTTCTCTTGTAAAATTAGTGTTTTTATGTGCATGCAAGCTATTCTGTTCTTTACTGGACAATGTTATCAAGGCCTGTGATCGACTGTTGCCCCCTTGCAGCATGCCTCATTTTAAGCTGTCATACTCTTGAGCGCTGAAACAACCCCCTTCCCTCCATGAAGGCCATGCTAACTTCCTCCTGCCACAGAAAGTATGAGAATAGAGCACGTTCATCTTACTGTAACACATCTCTTCAAACCTGGCCACCCTCTTGCTGTGCTCTGCTGAGCGGCACACAACGAGAGAACCAGCTGGCATGTGCTGCCTGCTGCACCGGACACGCTGCACAAATGCACGAGGTGCAAAAATAGCTCCAACATCGCAGCTGCCCTGAAAATAGGATGAACCACAAGGCGTACAACTCTGTGGGGATGTTCATGCTAAAGCTACCAGTGTTTTTAGTGATACTCACTCAAAGCATACAGAACGAAAACAACATTGACCTTACACCTCCACAGCACATGACTGTGAATCTGCAATAACAAGTGAAAAAGTAAAGTTAATCCAATTTTAGGCTGAAAACAACGTGAGACATGACGAACATGAGAGCTTCAGCTTCAGGTCCATTTTTATCCTGTTGCACGCTAGTGTGACTGCAGCAAGTCACTGCATGTCAGTCATGATCATTTGACGGCCTCTGAGAATCAACAGCTAAGGCATTGATTTCTGCAAAACATTATTTATCAGGACGACATTCAGTGTACATCAGAAAGAGGAAGAGTTGGGTAATTTCTTGCTGGATCACAACCTTAGGTTCACCCCCCCCCCNCATTTTTCTACCTCCCGTCCTCCTTCACGTTCTCTTGGCCACCATTCTCCCGATGGCTCATTATTGGGCCATTCATAAGTACTGTCAGCCAGAGAATACTTCCCTGTTTTTTTTTTTTTCAAGGCAAACGTCACTCATCAGCATTCTGGTCAGCTGAAATGTGCCCTCTCCACTTTCTCCCAACTGAGACACAACTGACCTCAAAATGCCTCAGCAACATTACAGCAATCCCAAAACTCCATGTAGAAAGGAGCGTGTGTCATTTTTCCAGAATATGTCACCATTTTCCACTTAACCTCCTCATTCCTTCTCCCTGTCATCAGCAGTGAATCACATCCTCCTGTTGTCACAACCTGCGGCTGTATTTTTATACACGTTAGAGTTAAACCTCTCTGCTGCTGCTTTTTCACTCGCTGTCATAGTGCTGTGCTTTTCGTTTTGAGTTTTTCCCACAAGTACCAACACATCGAGGCGGCCTGAACTGTGAAACAGTTAAAAAGGCCTCAGGGCCTTGTCTGCACCCAATAGTGACATAGTTAAAGTAATCAAGCAGATCAATGCTTCATGACAGCGTACAGTGTGCAGGACAAACACATGTTTATTTACAGCTAAACTGGCTAAATGTCACTGCCTGGTTTTGACGAGAAATCAAGCTTAATAAAAAAGTTTCTTACATCCGGTAAAAAGAAGTAGTCCTACCTGATGAGGAGCAGTCCTGACAAGCCTTTTCTCCAGACTGAGGCAACTAAATAATGCCAGTTAATAGCACAATAAGCTCTCAACTGTTTCACCTCCCCCTCACATTGGAAACGGATGGATGTGGGTGGAGTAGAACTCATCTGACTCTCTCTCTCTCTGACACTCTCTCTCCTTTTCTCACCCCTCATCTCACTGAGTTTCTGAGGCATCACTCTGTGTGTGTGTGTGTGTGTATGTGTGTGATTGTGCAAGTGTAAACCTCCTTAGTCAAGTCCTTCCCCTCCCTTTCATGCTGCCTCCTGAACCTCCACAGCAGCTCCTCAGTCCAATCACACGCCAGCTGTTTTCACTGATTAGACCCTCCTCACTGGCTGCTGCAGGAAATCAGCAGCTTTACAGTCGGATTTGTAAAAAGGAAAAGCCCTGAATGCTCAGGGTGGGAATTCAGGGAGTCCACTATCTGCTCACTTACAGTTTTTGATGAGTGATCTACAGCTACAGAGACTATTTGAACGTCCCCAGTCACATTCATCACATACACACAGTGGCAGAAAACTATTGCAGTGATTGCAAATGAATTCATTAAACTGAGCCTCGTCACAGTGGAGGACTTGTCTTGAATGGCAGCAGCGCCTTCGTCTTCTCTCACCTCTCGATGCAAAGTGTAACATTGCATGAAGGTGTGAAACTGAGTTATTTCAATTTGTGACAAACAGGCCAACTCTCTAAAAGGTCATTCTGCATAATTTGCTGTTATCTTTCATTTACTTCTCCCCCACTTGTTTCCTTCCTCAAACGAAGAGTAAAATGAAGTTGCATAATCCCCAAATGAATTGTGCCAAGTAAAGAATGTTGAAATGTATTCAAGGTGTCATGACATGATTTTCAAAACAGTATCTTTTAGTCCATCAGTAAATGAGGGTGAACAACACTTTTCAAAGTCCAGGACCAGTGAACATTACACAAAGAAATCTCTCAGTAAAGGTTAAAACTGAGAAATCATGTAAATTCAACAAACACGCCTGTTTGAGGGATTAAGAAATCAGTTACCACAGAGTTTCTGCAGAAATTGGGGTAAATATAGTCTTCAAAGTAAATACAAAAAGTTCATAATGCAATCCCCTTCGTCTGCACAAAGTTGTAACCAACTGTTACTGCAACCTGATGAAGGAAGTAGGGTGAATATTTTTAATCAGAGGACAGATCAAATGCTGAATTCTATAGAAACGTAATCTGAAGAAATAGAACGGTAGCTGACTTTGGATGAAGTGAGCAGAAGGTGAAAACAAAGCAAAGTGTAACTGCCACACATTTGTGAAAACTTCTGCAACAATGCTGGGAGGAACTTTCCTCTGCAGATAAAACGTTACCAGTGTTTGTTTACTGAATGAACTAAAATGTATAATGAATTAGGGTCTGAGGTTCCTTTTTTCAATCTTAGTTGTTTGTTTCTCATTTCCCAAGTACAACAAAAGACATATTTTATGATCCAGTTACAACTGAAAAATGGTGTTATACTGTTGACTGGTCTATATGTGGCATTACTTCATTATACTCCTGTCAAAGTTGTATTCATTGTGACATTAATGTTTATGTGTCTATTCTGTTGTGGGATATTATCGTTCAACGCTTTCTTGCCTTTTGTAATGCCACCACCAAGAGTCGCCAAACTCAAATATTCAAATCCTGCACATGCTGATGGAGCTGTACCACAACAATGGCAAGTTGTTCATATGGAACTTTTATACCTCCTGCATATGAAGATTATTAGTTATAGAGTAGATACAGCAGATTTATTTTCACTGGCTGTGTGGACGGTTTTATTTCAACTATGCTTGACAATTAATTGATTTAGCTTAATATATAAATATTTCATTGAACACATTAAATAGTGATTAACTGAGGATGCGCAAGTTAAAAAAATATACCAAAAGTATTATTTGAAAGATTTATTTGCAGCAATTCAGTTAAATAATTAACTGAAGAGCAGAGGTTTTTCAATGCTGTAAATCTCACAGAGCTTGGGGCCACTTTTGGAAATGACAACAGCAATCCAATAAAAACATTGAAGCCATTCATTGATTATAACTTCATTTAGCTTTCATCACAATTACTGTCATAATCCAAGAGTCTTTGTTTATTGCTGCAAGATTCAAAAGACAGTGATGGAAATGTTGAAGTGGCGTCAATGCAGTCACAGTTGGTGAAGCCAGAGATTCTGTCAGAACATTGTCAAATAGATAAAAAGAGCAAGTGAAGGGAGAATTTAAAAATGTCTAGAACCGCAGCGTCATTGTGAATCAGAGGATGAATCTTTAACGTCTGTGCTTTCTGTTGCCTCGCTGACTTCACTCAGCTCTTTGCTCTCTCCTCCGCTGTCTCTCTCGCTCTCTCTCTCCTGGTCACCAGCACCCGAATGGCTCTGGCCAGAAGGCGCCTCCTGGCCCGCCACACGCACTCCAGGCTTCCTCAGCTGCGGGACATAAAGAAAAAGAAACAACACATTCAGGGTCAGTATCAGCTTGAGTTGAGTTCGGCAGTGCTACACGTCCACTGAGGTAACCAGCGGTTTGTGAAAGTCGTGTCATGTGGACCTAACAGTGAATACATGTAATAAAGTTACCTCATCGGCCATGTTGGCCAGGTCTCTCTTCATGGCGTATGCATCCTCCCCATCTGCGTAGTATTTAGGCTCCACCTCACTAATCCTGTAAACAAATAACAAAACAACACAAGGGTTTAAGTCACTATAAATATCGTTCAGGGTTGTAACTGTCATTGTTGAAGATAATGATTTCAGTGGTTTTCGATATATAGATACATGTATCTAAATACAAATTTTAAAACAAATAAATAAATAAATTAAGAATTAAATATTTCCTGCAAATTTTATGTCTTGGGAATGAGGAGAACATTTCCTTCAAACTTCAAATCTAAATAGGCGAGAGTCCAAATAATATTGAAGTCTTTGAGTCTGGGGGATGAGCAGGGCTGTGTTTTTTTTTTTTTAGACCAATACTGGAATTATTACATGTTGTGTTTTAAACACCCAGTAATAAAATCCCACAGATTCACCTGATGGGTATGAATGAGACTTTTTTACAGTGTGCGCTGAAGAACTGGAGGTGGTGCCAACTTCTGCAGCAACATACACTGAAGCCTGATGAAGCACTGAACGTGTACTGCTCTAATTACTTAATGAAACTGAACTAATGCAATGTATTTATGGGCTGATTGTTCATTTGAGCAATTTGTTTGTCTGACTGCAGAGATATGTATCATTTCTGTGATGCAATATCTAGTTACCTATCATTCAACATGTATGTTGAGTTAACAGGAAAGTGGTCTCAGACTTCAACATATTGATCTACTATGGATTTAATTCTGACCTCATTATTTATGTAAAGCCTGTGTATGGCCATGGATACTGCTATCCCCAGAGTATTAACAATGTATTAAAAAAAAAAAGATATAATACAATATTGGTACTGAGAACTTACTGGAATTTGAGTGTGTTGGAGTACAGGTGCAGGGCCGCCCGGTTGCTGCAGTGGAAAGGAAGGAACGGTAAATATACACAGGAGCACTAAGAACGACAGTCAGAGCCTAACTAAAATGACAGACTGAACTTTGTAAACAGGCAACATATAAAACATGCAATCATTTAAAAAGGTACCTTTTACGAACATGAAGTGAGACGTATTTAGCATTAAAGTTTTCTATCATGGCCCTGCTGGCCTGATCCATCAGCTTCTGAGCAAGTCCCAGACGTCTGTGGGAGCGCTTCACTGCCTGGATTACACAGAGAAGGTTGGGTTTTTTTACTTCACATACCACAGTAATAATTCATACTTCATAATACAGAGAAAGGAGATGTGAGAGGTGACTCTCGTGCAGACTGACCAGGGATGTGATGTGTCCATGGGGTACATCATCAGGATCCTCCTCCCTAGAAAGAGTCAGTGCTTTCATCAATATAATAAGAAAGTCTCTGCAAAGTAAAACCAACACGTCTGATTCTAGAGACTCACATCTTTGCCAACACGTATCCCACAATTTTGCCATTTTCGTCCTCTGCAATGTATGAGAGCTGAAAGTGAAAACACACAATGGAGTCGGTCAGAGAGATGTACTGACAGAGAGGACCCAGCTCAGAGCAGCAGTGGTGTTGTTAGCACGGGGCTAAACTGACCTGAGGCCAGGACAGACCGTGGTAGAAGTAGTACTTCATCTGGTAGTTTTCTGGAAGACACAGCAGGTTACAGTGCTGCATGTTCATCAGGTCCTCCGGCTGTAATGAAACAAAACAAACTGCACGTCAGGAAGCTGCGTGACTCAACGCAACGCCCGTTTATCTGCGGTATTAATAGGTGAGCTAACGTGTATGCTGCGGGAACTAGCTAAGCTAACAGCAGAAGCAGCATGGCTGCCGGGAGGGCTTCGGAAACACTCACCCTCGCGTTTCGTATGTTCATGTTGTTCGGTGGTTCGCTGTGTGCTCCGAGGAAACAGAAATAAACTGCTCTGTGCGAACCAATCAATTCATACTAGTTACAGGACCGAGGGTAGAGGACTCGTCTCGATACTTGAGTCAACTCGCTAGCAGAGAAAGGGAGGAGCGGAAGGAGCGTGCCACAATAATGGTACACGTTTCCGTTTCCGGTTCCTGTGTGTGTGTGTGTGTGTGTGTGTGTGTGTGT